TTGTGATAGAATAAATCAACACCCAGTACCATTCTGAAATCCCCAGGATGTGTCCTAATCAAACCAAAAGAGAAAATGCAGATATTACACTCATAAAAGAAATGGTAGACATATCAGTACTCTTAGTGCCAAGTTGTCTCAGACAATAATAATGTATCTGTGTACATGTTTTACTGTACTGTGATCTGCATGCACTTATCAAACATTTAATTAATGTGATATACACAGTAGGCTATATGCTGTGATGCAGCGGGAGGAGCAAAACACACACTTCAAGTCAGATCATCCCCCTTAGCTATTTTAATTACCTCTCACACTACCTAAACTAGTTATAAATGTTTATTTTTACTGTCGACCGGGTCACTCATTACTGGATCAGCTGCTGCATGAGACAGACACTGGCCGTTTCTCAATCGCGAGGATGCTGGCTTGGTAGCACAGCCGAGCCGAGCATCTTGCTTCAGAAGCAAGGCAAGAATACTTCCTGCCATTCGGAAAACGAAGAGTGGAACAGGCTAGCAAGTGTGCAGGTGTGCGTCATATGAGAGGCCCCGCCTTACATCTTCCGCCACAGATTTGGGGAGATTGGTCCATGCGCAAAGCATTGTGGGGATTTTAAGGACGCGAAGTCTACCCATGTGCAGCCTCGAAATTTCCCCCAAACCAAGGACGCGGCCTCGGTGGAATTCCAAGTATGCTGGAGATTGGAACAGTCCTTCGGCGGCACTCGATGACGTAGCATCCTTGAAATATTGGCTTGGAAGCCAATATCCTCGCGATTGAGAAACGGCCACTGACGCTGTCAGAAGAGAGGGAGGATAAAGAGAGGCCAGGCTCGTGTATTTTATTATTATATAGTCGTTATTCATTTGTTTTAAAGCTCAATAAATAACAAAGAAGACCTTTGACCGGCACTTTTATAATTTTGTCCGGAAGATTTCAACTTTAACACACGTTGACCGGCGAAAAACTCTGCCCGATGCCCTCGGCCCCCACCACGGTGAATAAACAGAAGGCTTTTGTGGAGGAAGTTACAGCGCTACGTACAGTATCCAAATGTGCCCAAAGGTCAGTCCTGGACTTTTTTTGCTAAACCTCTCTAAAAAGGTCAAATTTCACTTGTTTTGCCTCAATCTTTTATACAGGGTACTTATTATATGTTATACTTTGGATTCCTAAAGCTTTTACTCTACCATCCAATCATTCAAGGGTGGTTTTCACTAAAAGTAATGTTTTTGTTTTAGGCGGAGGTAAGAATTTACCTTTTTTTACTATGTTCCATCTGAATTTACTCTGACACAGAAACATCTATATTGATTCTGACACTTCTACATCCAACTCACAGATGTAACCTTGCTTTGATAAAATAAATTATTCATATAACCTTTTTAGAAGTTAAGTTATAGTCATTTTTTTGATTATCTTTTTATTCAGTTTATATGAACATGAACAAGGTTATGGGGGTGCACCCTAATGACACTTTAACTAGGGAGGCAAAGAGAAATAAATAATAAAAAGGCACAAAAATAAATTTTAGACAAATTATGGTCGTATTGGTGTAACGTACATTATTAATCTTTCAAAGAAATTCCCTGTTGCAATCTCAAAGCAAAAGTTAACCTTTCCATCTTAAAGATATCATAAACACTGTCAATCCACTCATCCACAGTAGGTTTTCCTGGTGTTAACCACATTCTAGTATTGGCTTTCTTCAAGGTTCAAGGCTTTTATTAGTCATATGTACATAGCTACAGTGTAGTTATGTCGATGAAAATCTTAGGTCACAGGCTTCACCAACAGTGCAACACAAAAAAACTGAAAAAATAGTGCAAATAAATACAAAAAGAAAAATAGTAAATAGTGAAGTAGTGAAATAGTGCAATAAGAGTCTAAGTGATTGGAATATAATATATTTGATAAATAATTTGTAAATTGCAGCCAAATGAATGTTATGGATGTTGTTTCAAAAGTTCAGGTGTTTAATAGTCTTATTGCCTGTGGGATGAAACTGTCCCCGAGTCTGGTGATTTTTGTCCTGATGCTGCCGTACTGCCTGCCAGACGGCAGCAGACAGAACAGTTTGTGGCTGGGGTGATGGGGGTCTTTTATAATCCTGAGGGCTTTCTTCCTGAACCGCTGGGAGTAAAGATCCTCCATGGATGGCAGCTCCGTCCTGGTGATGTGCTGTGCAGTTTTCACCAACCACTGTAAAGCCTTACGATTGAGGGCGGTGCAGTTGCCGTACCAGGCCATGATGCAGCCAGTCAGGATACTCTCTATGGTGCAACTGTAGAAGTTGCAGAGTATCCTGGAGTCCATGTTGAACCTCCTCAGCCTGCGGAGGAAGAAGAGCCGCTGTCGAGCTGTTTTGGTGATGGTGTTTGTGGGATGAGTCCATGTCTGGTCCTCAGTGATGTGGACACCGAATAACCTGAAGCTGCTGACTCTCTCCACCGTAGTCCCATTGATGAAGATGGGGGTGTGTCCCTCTCTCTGCTGCTTCCTGTAATCCACAATCAGCTCCTTGGTTTTTCTGACGTTGAGATGGAGGTTGTTATCCTGGCACCAAGATGTCAGGTTTTCGACCTCCTCTCTGTACGCCGTCTCGTCGCCGTCGGTGATCAGGCTGATGACGGTCGTGTCGTCAGCAAACTTCACGATGGTGTTGGAGCTGTGTGTGGCCACGCAGTCGTGTGTGAACAGGGAGTAGAGGAGACGGCTTAGCACGCAGCCTTGAGGGGCTCCGGTGTTGAGGATCGGGGTGGAGGATGTGATGTTTCCCACCCGCACTGCCTGGGGTCTGCCCGTCAGGAAGTTCAGGATCCAATCACAGAGGGCGCTGTTGAGCCCGAGGTCTCTGAGCTTGATGACCAGCTTGGACGGCACAATGGTGTTGAAAGCTGAACTGTAATCAATGAACAGCATTCTCACATGTGTTCCTCTGGTCTGGAATGTTCATACAGTAACCTTCGGTACCACATCATCGATGCATTTCCCAATGTAGCAAATGACGTGTCCGTGTGTGTGTTGATATTGTTGTCCTCAAACACACACCATTCCGTAGATTCAAAGCAGTCCTGCAGAGCTGAGTCTGACTCCTCACCCCAGCGCTGTATCAGGGATGCAAACTCATCAGGTATGAAAAAGGTGACAAGGATCCAAGCCCCCCGACCCCACGGAATATCGGCTTTAAAATTAGGAATAACAGAGGATTTTAGCAGTCAGAACAACTAAAGCAGCAGTGTTAATAATAACAGAAATGCCAAAGAGTCACATCTAATTGCAGAGCTGGCCTTCCTTACCAGTCTGTTCATTCTCTTCCTGTCAGCAGCCGAGATGCTGCTGCCCCAGCAGGCCACACCATAGAAAATGGCTGATGCCACAACAGAGTCATAAAATGTCTGAAGGAGTGCCCCCTGCACCCCGAAAGACCTCAGTCTCCTCAGCAGAAAGAGTCTGCTCTGTACCTTCTTGTACAGTCCAGTCCAGTTTATTGTTCAGATGAACACCCAGGTATTTGTAAGATTTCACAATCTCAATGTCCACTCCCTGGATGTTCACTGGTGTCGGGGGGGAGTGTTGGTGCCGTCTGAAATATGTGAAAATGATTTGCCTTGAGGCATCCACACTGTCGCCAGCATGAAGAGGAATTGGTTTAGTTGGGTTGGAGTAACAACAAACAAAACTCTCTCCATAAAGTTGAACTTGATGTTTTCCATTGTATCTAACATAAATTATCCCAATCTTCTTCCTTCAGAACTAAGTTTGCCCATTTTTGTTAAACATTCAGCGAGTAACCTTTTGTTTGTTGTAAACCCCTATACAGATGTAGCGCCTCATTTAGGACAGTTTGAAACGCGAGGGCCGTGGTCGGCACGGGGTCTGCCCTCGATCAAGAGACAACCTCCAGTCTGACTTGAGACCGCCCCCGTGATAAATAAATGTAATTATAATGAAGCCAGCTGCAATGCACCAGGGGGTGCAGTGGGGTTCCACACTGGAGCTCATGTGAAAATAAACTGATACAGTACGGTAGATTTATGTCTGGTACTACTGTATAGCGGATCTTTGCCTGTTAAGCCCCGAGCCTGTTTTTCAGGTTTCAGGCTCGAAAATGACATGCCCAAAACAAATGACTACAACTTCACTTCTAAAAGGGTTATATGAATAATTTCTTTTATCAAAGCAAGGTTACATCTGTGAGTTGGATGTAGAAGTGTCAGAATCAATATAGATTTTTCTCAGTCAGAGTAAATTCAGATGGAACATAGTAAAAAAAGGTAAATTCTTACCTCCGCCTACAAAAAACCCATTACTTATAGTGAAAACCACCCTTGGATGATGGGTTAGTAGACTAAAAGCTTTAGGAATCCAAACTATAACATATAATAAGTACCCTGTATCAAGATTGAGGCAAAACAAGTTAAATTTGACCATTTTAGAGAGATTTAGCAAAAAAAGTTCCAGGCGGAATAGGCTTTCGGCACGTTTGGGTATATCTGGTTCCATCAGTGCCATTTGACCTTTTTCAGGTACCAGACTATAAAAATGATGTATTACATTGAATTATCACCATAGGTATTCATTCCATTCAAAGAAAAAAAAATTAAATTAAAAAAATTAAAAAAAAACTTTTTTTTCTTTTTATTTGTGAAAAAAAAAAAGACCCGCCGAGGGGGGCTTTGGGGCTCTAAAGTTTCAAAAAAGGTGTCAATCACCCAAATCGACCAATGGGTTCCAGAGTTACGATCCTGCGCAACATAAATTATGCCAGCTCCAGCCACATTACGCACACGACGCAGCAGCAACAGCACCGGAGGAGCAAACGAACGAAGCGACGAACACAGCGAACAGAGAACACAGAGAGGACAGAGAAAACCGAGCAGTCAACATAACATAATATTATTATTATATATAAGGACAAGGACAAGGATTTATTTGCTTTTAGGACTTATTTGAGCAAATAATGCCACCCAGAAAGAGGCTGTATAAGCTTGAAGATGCCGTGGAAATGGTGTTCGCTGACTCTCCGTCAGAAGATGAGGATCTACTCCAGAAACAATCAGACCCGGATTATGAACTTCGGGAAAGGTATGTACTCTCTCTGTTTGTGTCTATTAGTTATGTATTTGGTGTAATCTATAGTAATTCCACACTCGCAAAATAAAAAATGGACGCCGCTTTGTTGTTCTCGCATAATCGTTCTGAGAGACGAAAAACAATGGGAAGATGCGTGTTGGTGAACACGTATCAATAGATTAATTATAAATAAATAATTAATTAAAACAGTATATAAATAAAGCTGTATTGTATATCAACGCAGTCTATAGGCCTACTGTACGCGAAATGGATGCTGTTTTGTTGTTCTGCGAGACAAGTAAACAATGGGAACACGTGTTGGTGAACACTTATCAATAGATTAATTGTATTTCGTCACTATAACACGGCAGTATATAAATAAAGCTGTATTGTATATCATATATATATATACTGTTATTTCACACACGCTAAATGGAGGAATTATTTCTGATTTGAGTTACATTTTTGAAAGAATAAGCCAGTGAAGTAATCGATTTGTTTTTTCCACATTTTTCAGTGAGTATGACGAGTATGAAATGGCTTCTGGATCACAGCCATCAACATCTGCCTCATCCGAGCTACGACGTGCATCAGATCAGCATACAGTTGCCCCAGAGCCATCAACATCCAAGCTACGTCGCCGGATGTCTGCACCTGTACTAACTCAGCCTCCCTCTGCATCTTCTGATTCTGAACCATCATTTGAGCTGCCCAGCAAAAGAAAAGCATCGAAAAAAGCTGTAAATCCCAGAAAGCGTGGCCGAGGCCGAGGTGGGTCTTCCTCTTCCAGAACGACAGAGGAAGAACTCGGGTGGCACAACAAAGAGGAGAATGACCAAACACCAGAGCCACTGAGGTTCATGCCTGCCAGGGTCCCAGGGCCAGCGTTGGACACCACTGCACAATGGTCTCCCCTTCAGCTTTTCAAACTATTTTTTAGCCATGCCGTGGTTCATACAATCATTGCCAACACAAACACAAAGGCCCTGAATCAATTGCAGGGTGGAAAGAAGTACCCTTGGAAAGTGCTGACTTTCAAGGATTTTTATATTTTCCAGTCCATTGTCATTTTCACAGGCCTAGTTAGCGTTCACAACCAATCGGACTACTGGAGGACAACATTTCCATATCATTTCAAATTCCCAGGTGATACGATGTCCCGGCAACGCTTCCACGCCATCCTGTGGTCATTGCACCTGAGCGACCCTAAAGAAGACGAAGAAAATGATCGCAAAAGGAACACCGCAGAGTACGATAGACTTTTCAAGATAAAGCCCCTGTACACTGAAATCACTGCTGCCTGCAAAGCACATTTCCAGCCCCATCAAAACATTTCAATAGATGAAAGGATGGTCGTGTACACAGGGAAGAGTGAGTTCCTCTCAGGCCAGGGACTCAGCTACACCTCCGTGGTCGACCTCCTGCCTTTCCCTCTGCTCGGTGGGGGCTACACACTCTTTGTGGACAACTTTTACACAAGCCCTGCCCTCTTTGGGGATTTGTTCGCAAAAAACATTGGCTGTTGTGGGACCATTCGAAAAAATCGAGTTGGTTTTCCACAGACTGTGTTGAACGACCTTCCGAAAAAGGCTGAAAGGGGAGATATGCGTTGGATAAGGAGAAGCAAGCTCCTGTTCATAAAGTGGATGGACAGCCGTGAAGTGACCATGTGCTCCACAGTGCATGCAGCCTTCAGTGGACAGACTGTCAGGAGGAAAGTGAAACGGGCTGGTGTGTGGCAGACTAAGATTGTTACCGTTCCTGACGCTGTAGTGGACTACAACAGAAGCATGGGCGGCGTGGATGTGTCCGATGCTTTGTATTTTGATGGAATGAATACCTATAGTGATAATAAAATGATTTTTACGGTATGGTACCTGAAAAAGGTCAAATGGCACTGATGGTATCCAAACGTGCCCAAATGTGCCCAAAGGTTAGTCCGCCTGGACTTTTTTTTACTAATCCTCTATAAAAAGGTCAAATTTCACTTGTTTTGCCTCAATCTTGATACAGGGTACCTATTATATGTTATACTTTGGATTCCTAAAGCTTTTAGTCTACTAACCCATCATCCAAGGGTGGTTTTCACTATAAGTAATGGGTTTTCTTTAGGCGGAGGAAAGAATTTACCTTTTTTAACAGGTTAAGATCCATATGTCACGGATAGGATCATACTCTGCTAAATAAGAGACATGTAATCATTTACAAAACATCACCATGTTGTTATTTAACAAAATAATGTTGTTTAGTCGGAAAAAACGAACGAGAGGAAATGCAGCCGGCTCTCGATTTTTAATCCTAATTTAATCATCATCTTCACCACGATCATTTATGTTTGCCGAATTGACATGAAATCACTGACAAATATGAACATACTGTATTCAACTTCATTAAAACGTTATTAACGTGCCTAAACTCAGTAATTCACTAAAAATATTTATATTTGAATGGAGTCTCGACAGGCAGATCAGGATCCTGACGGGTGTTATTTTCCCCATAATGACCAAGTCGCTGCAAATGATCCCGCTTATTACATGGCCACATTCTCAACAAGGTAACGACATGACTCCCAATATTAATTGAAATGCTTTTATGGATTTAGAAAATGTTTTTATTGATTTAAAAAATAGTTGTATGTATTGATTTAAATTGACATGCATCCGCTAAGAAAAATAGTCCGTTGTTACCGTTTTTTAAACAGTCTGAATGAAACGGCAGCTCTCAGCTGTGTGTTTACACACCTAATGGCTCATCAGCCACAGCTCTCTCCCCCCCCTGATCTTTCTTCTCCAGCAGTTAAAGTGGACCTATCATGCTATATTTGAATAATATAGTATAGGACCATACCTATATAAGGCATATTTATACTTTTTTTTTTTCAAAATACCAAACAGATCATGCATTTTAGCCATGCCTCATTTTGCTCAATTTGACATTTTTTTGTTCTGTTTTTGCAAGGGCAGATTCTGTGAGAACAGCACCATCTACAGGCCTGGCATATGTACTACAGCGTCTCCAGCGCTTTCGAACGGCAATGGCCGTAGCTGTCTCCTCCTGATTGGTGGAGTTGGTCCAATAGCCGTAGCGCCACTGTCCTGACGTCAGGACAGTGTTCAAATCTGGATCAGTTTTTATCAGATCCGTTGCAGCCCCTTTTTTTTTAGAGATTTGGGTATGGAGGAAAATAGAGAGGGTTGTGTTTTCTGACACTTGGTGAGTTCCCTGGAACACCGGGGACACATATTCATGTATAAAAGACGTACAAATGTGCATTTTGCATGATAGGTCCCCTTTAAGTTAACTGTAGGTTACTCTGAGTGACAAGCTTACAGTTAGTGAAGTAACACTTTTTTTTGTGAGTCACGACCTGGCTGTTTCATTCTAACTAGGGATGCTCCGATCGCCAATTTTGGGGCCGATCGCCGATCCGATCGAGTGGGCGGGGCCTAAATGGAAGATTTAAACATCACTTTAAATCTTCCATTTAAAGTGATGTTTAAAACTCAGTTAATGGGGCTCATTCACTGGAGCTTCCACAAACAACAATCAACTTAATTATTACATTCAAATTATGTACATTATTCAAGTTTACATTCACTTTGGATAATAACACGGGAGAAATGAGCAAGCGCTCTCTTTTCCTCTCTCTCCCTCTCTCTCTCCCTCTCTCTCTCCCCCTCTCTCCCTCTCCTGACGGCCCGTCAGTATCGTCTCATGCAGCTCGCTGATCCAGTAATGTGTGAGGCCGACAGTGAAGAATAAATATATTTATAACTAGTTTAGCTTGTTCCAGAGGTAGATCAAATAGCTAATTGTGTTAGGTCTAACTCTTGTGTGTTTCGCTCCGCTCACCGGTCCGTCACAGCGGGTGGAGCTGCAGGATTTCTGCTTCACACACACGTTGCATACCGCTATTTTACTGTCTTTTTCGGACACCTTAAAATAATGCCAGACCGGTGAAGCCAATTTGGCGAGCTTGTTTTTGCCGTGCAGAGAGAAAAGTGTCATGTATTTTACGTCATGCGATCGGCTCTCGCGATCGGCATGTTTAGAGAGCACCGATCGATCGGTAGAGAGTGAGTATCGGCAGATCTCGATCGGTGACCGATCGATCGGAGCATCCCTAATTCTAACATAATGCTCCAAATGCTACTGTTTCCACTCGGACTTCAATACAGCTACACCATTGTTTGGTTTCCATGGTAGCGCGCACTCCTTTCCTGTAAATTACAGGTCCAGCCAGGCAAAACAGTGCACTTCTCTTTCCCGCACTACTGTGACAGACCAAGGGGCTGGGTCAGCCACTAACATATTCATATTTCTCTTCTCAAAAAGAGAAATATGAACGTTAGTTTTTAACTGAAATGATCAAATAAAGTCAAAATGTCCCAGTGTTTATAAACATTGACCATACCGTTCACCAGCCCCCACCCCCTACTGTAGGCCTATGTTGAGTATACTCTTTGTTTAAAACTAATTGGCCATCGGAATATGTGTGTCCCAACCCCCCCCTGTGATATCTCTTCTCCAGCAGTCTGTAGGTTTGTGTTCGCATATTTATGCTGTCGCAGTTCCTGTTGTTTCTATCGCGCATTGCCGGTGTTGTGTCAAATTATGCACCCCCATAATGAATTGCCCCCCTTGTCACGGGAACGCGCATTTCTAAATGACACGTTTACACCTTAAACCGATGTTTAAAACAAAAAGTAAACGTTCAGGGTTTTTATTAATGGTAATTTTCAGACTGTGAGTTGTTTAGTGGTAGCTCATATTAAACTTTTCGCTCCGTATTTGATGGTAGTGGTGTCGAAATTCATTCGTCACTTCCTTTTCAGTTTTTGTTTTTTTAATCTTTTTGTTTTGTTATTATTGTTACGTCCTGTCTGTATACACATGCTTTAAAATGTATTGTTTAATTTTACATATTTGTCATATAATAATCAAAATATATGTTTACAAATGTTACATAGTCTTTGTCAGCATATTTTTGCCACGTTATGCCCCCCCTTGCTATCTTACATAATAAAAGTGTCACATTCATGAAACTTGCTCCATTCATTGGTACTAGTCCTAAAACTATACCCTAAAAATTGCTTGAGGGTGGGAATAATAGAAACATCTTTTTGGGTGGGGTGCATTTTATGACAGGCCTGGTTATCACAATATGCCCCCCCTTGCTATCTTACAAAATAAAAGTGTCACATACATGAAACTTGCTCCATTTATTGGTACTAGTCCTACAACTATACCCTAAAACATGCTTGAGGGTGGGATTAATAGCAACCTCTTTTGGGGGGGGGGGGGGGGTGCATTTTATGACAGGCCTGGTTATCACAATATGCCCCCCCTTGCTATCTTACAAAATAAAAGTGTATGTTGATTTTTGACTTTGTTTAGAGCAGTGAATTCTCTTTCAACTTGGCACTAAGAGTACTGATATGTGTACCATTTCTTTTCTGAGTAATATCTGCATTTTCTCTTTTTTGGAAAACTAAGTCTTAGTTTGGCCACTCATTTTTAATCACAGACGTCTCCCCATCCCATTCAAATTCTTGACTGGAAGAGCAGTGTTGCCTACATGTAAATGAGTGGCATAGCCTATATGCATTTGAAAAGAAATAGTACCCCCCTCTGAGTGACTATCTGTTGACTTCACATCTTGTCACAAACCAGGGGACTTTACTTCCTGATTTTTGGAATACAAAATAATTTATCTGTGTACGTGTTTTACTGAACGAGCATACTGTACTGTGATCTGCATGCACTTATCAAACATTTAATTAAAGTAGTGAAAACAAATAGTGAGGGGGTCCAAAATCAGCCAACGTGCTTTGTTTTTAATGTTCATCACTATAATAATAAGTACATTATTCAAAAGTTTACATTAACTTTGGATAATAACACGGGAGAAACGGATACTCTCTTTTCCTCTCTCCCTCTCTCCCTCTCTCTCTCTCCTGACAGCCCGTCAGTTTCTCATGCAGCTCGCCAAACAGTGGGCGGAAATAATAATAATATTAATTATTTCACACAAAAAGGTTATGACAATATATGACTATTGACGTACAAATAACACTGTCTGTCAATTGTGTAAAATAAGAGGATTAGATTACAACTTGTATTTAGAAATACTCTGTTGTAAATATTGATGCATAAATGTGTTCATCCATTCAATGTGGCATCTGCTATAATGGGGTTAATGTATGATATTACTTAATAATACAATACACTATATAATATATGATATGATAATTACATTTTAATTTTATTCATTTCTTATTTCATAGTTTCTCATCATTATTATGAAAGCACCTATTGTTTTAAATAATGGTCGGAATGTGACCTGTGAGCCTTCTGAATTACCGTGGGATAGCACATTCTAAACTAAAATGTTCAATCAATAAAGTAACATCTTATCTTAATAATATCTTCATATTAAT